CAACAATCCTCACTTGATCGACTTCTCTTGACAAAGTAATAGAGGGTGCCCTTAGTAAATCATTCCAATAAAATGGCATCGAGTCCAGCGATTTGCTTCCTTTGAAGCAGCGACCACGGCGGCCACGAAGCTCAACCATAAGTCCTCTAGTTCCAAACTCACAGTAGAGAAGCCAGGCTTTCCGCCATGAATCATACGAAAAGTTGGAGATTAATTCATCAAGCTTGAGCTCCCTGTGACATCTTACTATCCGGAGACGCAGAAACTTGTGTTTTGTGTCTCCATTGCTCACCTTCGTCCGAGCATTGAGCCTCACAAAAACACATACCTGTAACGTTATGACACAACACAAACTGAGAATGAAATTTAAGTATGTTCAAATTAAGTGGATCTCATTATTATAAGCCTCCTTTAAGAAAACAAAAAACAAAATCACTTCACTCAAGATACTTAAAATGATTCTACAATCATGTTGGCATTCAAGCAAATCCATGTCTGCCCTCCTTTTCTTCTTTGGTTAGTTGATTAGTGGGGTTAGCAAAAGGAAGTTTGCATGTGATTTACTTCACCACTAAATCACCTACCATAATTGATTAATCTCACATAACATAGAGACAACATCAACTTAAAGATAATTCTTCTCCATAGTCTATCTACAAGAGCAGCAAAAGTAGAAAGTATATAGCAAAGGTGTCAACTAAACAGAACTTAAAAAATTATTCTCTTGTTTTTTCTTTTAATTAAGCATATGTCTTCAATTGGTGCTTGTACCAACTTTATGTTTTCAAGCTGTGGACCTCATGGTCCTTGAGTATCAAAGAATTTTTAAAGAGAGAAACAATGAAGGGGGAAAAAGTTATTAAATAAGGTATAAGGATGCTAAAATTACCTCAAGTAGGAACCTTGGTATCATAGACTTGTATTTAGTGTTAACATCTACGTCTGAAACCTCCCAATAGATTGGTGGCTTGGCCTTAACCTTATCCAATTCCACTGCTAGCCCACCTCCAGCTTTCTCATAAGGCTGATCAAAGGTTCTCTCCCATAGGTTCTTGGATTCTTCTACCTCTTTTTCTTTTACAGTCTCCCATAACCCCACTACCTTGCCCATATCCCACTTGTCCTTCAAATCCTCTACATACACTGTTGGGTAGCTCTGGTTCATAAAAAAATAATGAAATATGTGACAACAAAAAGAAAAAACACAAAAAGAAATGACAAAAGAAAGAAGGAACTCCTTTTACATCTTAATGGCTGATTGGAACGACAAATCCCACACTTTACCTAATTCCTAAACCTCTTAATACTTTTTCATTACACAAAACAAATGAAGCCGACCTACAGCAATTACAATTGAAAGATAAGAGAATGACAGAAACCTTAAAGCTTAATCATCATAAAAGAACCAATAGAAAGAATCTAAGAAAAAGTATATTATCATAATGGTTAAAGAAATCTACCTGATGAGTCAGCAGCATCAGGAAAATATCCAAAGCAGGAACAAATCTAAGGCACCCATCTCCAAACCTTTGCATCATGTACAGAAATCCTCTGTATCTTTGTCTTGCTGCTATCAAATACACTAGCTCACAGAAGTATGGTTCTGAAAATTTTGAGTACAAAAACTTGTGCTTTTTAACTTGATTGAAAAGATCTTGATTTATCCCTGGTCGGTCTTGGGAATCTGATTCCACTTCATTCTCAAAAGGCTCAGATTCATGCCTTTGAACCCAGATTTCTCTGCATCTCATCAATGCATACTCTCCATTTTCTTCATTGAAGATTGCTGGTTTTCCAATTAGTTTTGAGAACCTTGACTCACAGTATTTCCTGTAAGCAACCTGTAGAAGAAAAAACAAAAAAAAGAAAGAGAAGACCCAGAGAAAAGATTAGCCTTTTAAGTCTTTCAAGTCTGAATAATCGAAAAGACTACAAGTATCTTTTCCTTAGTCATTTCCCATGCTTTCCTTTCAACCAAACAGAATTCACAGTAGTAACCCAGAAGAAAGATTAGCCTTTTCAATCTTTCTTTTCCTTTCTAACTTCTGTCATTTTCTCACTCTCCCATCAACCAAACAGAATTAACAGTCAAAAGCATTGCATAGTTGTAACACTTACAGGATTCAAGGTGTGACAAAACCAAACCCACTCAACATCAAAAGGTGGCAAAACCATAGGAGGCGTTGACCCCACCACTGTCAGATCAGAAATCAACGGCATCCACACCTCCTCATACCTACAAAGAGTAAAAAAGAATTCCCATCTCATCCAACCTCAAACCTCCGATCAGATTACTTCTCTTCAAAAAAGGAAACAAAAAAAAACTGACCTCCTTATTGCTTCAACCATCGTTGCTCTTTGGTGAAGCCAATGACACTCATTAACACTCCTTAAGAACCCAATGTTTCGTCTCGCAGCCGACACGAGATCGACGCTGAGATGAACCGTGTCCTTCTCCGATATCTCGCTGAGACTCCTTACTCCCCACGACGATGACGACGACGACGACATGCCGTTTAAGGTTTGGTTAGACATTTTGTCAGAGCTCGAGCTTGTGCTTTGCTTGACACATGGGGGAGGCTTTTGGTTTCTGTAAACATGTAAGCAAAAGTACGAAGAGACATTAGTTTAAGGTTGTAAGAAAACGGTGGAAAGCAAAAACAATAATTAGCCACGTGGCTTGTTGTGGTGAGGTTTCAGGTGGCGGAGTGGAAGAACTTGGATGATCTGCAACTTTAATTAATTATCTTTTGTTTTGTAGTTGTAATAAATTAATAATGGTGGAAATATTTATGATCTTAAATTCTATCACCATGATTATTTAATATGCACCAATTTTTAAAAGTTGCCAAGGGTTTTTTTTTTGTTTCCTTTATCCAAAATATCCAAGCAATCTAACTTCTTTATATTCAAATTTCAGTATTTTTATATGAAAAGTAAGTTTATAATATAAAAAATAAATGTATATCACTTTCATATATTTTAAAGGGAAAAGATGAATCAAAATAAACGAAAAAGTATTACTTTGAAGAAAAAGGGTTCAGAAATTTGATTTTTTAAATAAAAAAATATATGCCAATAAATACGGGGTTTTAATTCTAAATTGATGGCTAATTTTGGATTTTGTAAGTATTATTTTGAAAAAAAAGAGTTTGAAAATTTAATTTTTTTTAAATAAAAACGTTATATGCAATTATCATTTGGGTCAAACGCCTAGATGGTAACGAAGAAAAGGTTTTAATTCTAAAGTGATGGCTAATTTTTGGATTATATATTGAATCCAAGCTAGTGGTTGGAAGTCACAAGCTCAAAATGATAAACAAATAGAATTGAATATTTGATTATTCCCATGTCAAACCCTATCTCTCTAACACTATCTTCTCAATCAAATTTGTTCTAACAAGTTGTCATAAAATCATTTGCGGCTTGAACAAGTTTATTCACCAGAGTTGATCGAACGGCTCAGAATCAAAGTTGGGACCATGATTAAGGGGTGTAGGTCATCAATTCATCATCAAATGGTCCAAACCCCCCAAAAGCAAAAGAGCCAGACGTTAAAATGGTGCAGGGTGGAGGACGCTAGATGATGTTCACCCCAGATGCCACCGTTGGTTCTTCATTCCACCTTTCCAGTTGCAATGATGAGCTAACCAAAGCACGAAAATGGTCGCCACTCGCCACCCCCACAGGGATGGGGACAGCCCCTGTTTTGTTGCTCAACCTTTCCTTTTGTTCTTTTGGCTGATTGATGACTATGAACCCTTGCTCGTCCACGTGAACAAAGAATCTTTACCCATCCCTCACATATAAAAATATTAACAAATGCAAAATATTCGAATTTGAATTGAATTCAAATAATGAATATTATACGAATATTATCCGAACTCGTGATGATTATATTTTATTATTTAAATTTGATTATACGATATATTAATTCTACGTAAATAGATTGAATAATATAAAATATTTTATTAATACCATAAATGAAGATGGAAAATGTTGCTTTCAAAGATTTCTATTTCTACAAAAAGGACGACAAACTTTCTTAACAAGTATGGCTCATAGTGCCCAAAACAGGGGAAGGATTGAATGACACATGACAAACTGACAAGCCATTGAAATTTCCTTTGAAGGCAAAACCTTGGGTAAGTGGGAGTATGCAATTTGCTTTAACTAAAAGGAAGGTAGGGGGCCATGAATTTCCAGCTCACAATCACATGCAAAACACCAATTAGGATAATTCCTTTTCCCCTCAATGTGTACTTACAAGAGTTTTAATCCCATGGTTCTTGTGTTACCCAAAATGTTAACCTCTTTTTTTTGGACTGAAAATATTTTCTCAAAATGGAATGCTTCATTCCAAGCAATAATAAATTGGACAAGCCATCTTAAGGCCCAATATGCAAGTCCAACCAAGCTCAAAAAGCCACTATTCAACCTCAATCAAAAGTTCAAACTATTCACTACAAAAAAATAATGATTCTCTGATTAAATTTTTTAAATAATTTTTGAATTTTTGAATTATAATATTTTAATTTTTTATGAAGATTTCATACATTAATTATACTATTTAAAATATAAAAACATAATCGAAACTTTAAATAACAATAATTTTTAAAATTTCTTCCATATAATAATATATGCTACACCCTCTTTTATGTAGCTAAAGTCCAAATTTTTGGTAGTGCATAACCAAGTTCAACCCATCACGTTATCATATCATTTAACCCTCAATTTTTGCTTGATCCCATAATCCAAAGTTGATGGATTAATCACCCAAATAATTATATCATTAAGATTGATTTTTCAAAAAATTAAAAAGGGACAAAAACCCAGATTTTCACAATTGTTATTGGTCACATTGCCTTTTTTTTTTTGAAAAATTAAAAGTTCAACCAACAAAAAAACCCATTAATTTTATTCTTCATAAATTGATTGTGAATTTTTTTTAGCACAAAAATTTGAGAGATTTTATGGAAAAGGATTAGTTCCCTCAGAATGTATAAATTAATGATTTAATCATTGGATTATCAGCATTAGCATGGTTATATAATTTTAACCATCATCGGGAACATTTAATTATAAAACCCAAAAATCCAAATTTAAAAATAGGAAAACCAGCATAAATAATTGACAATAAGTACAAAAATTCCTACAAATTTCAGATTCAGGCTCAGATCAAAATATTTGAAAATTTTATAAAAAAAATTAGGGAAACAACGTAAAAGTAATTAAAAAATAAGTACAAAATTCAGATTAAGGCTCAGATAAATGTTGGATTAAGAGTCAATTCCCAGACCTTTTGAAGGTCTCATAATGAGCTGGGATAAAACATTTATCATCATCGACAAAAAGAGATTTTTCAAGGAAAATAAAATGCGAAAACAGAAAGCAAGAACGATTAATCAAAGTAAAGGAATCATTTTTAACAAAATTTGCAAAAACTAATAATGAAGATTGAACAGGGAGATAGAAATTGAGAGTGAAGGGAAAGAACGGAGGCGATACGAAAAGAGGAGTCTGGGTTTTTAAAGGGGACGATGGGAAGATCTAGGGTTAGGGTTCAATTTTGGTTAACCGATTCGTTTTTGGTTTTCCATTTTACCCGAGTCCTTTGTTTTATTTACAATTGTACCGACAGTTATGGATTGGATTAGCAAGCCCAATATGTCTTTAGGCCAGTTCATGGATCCAAGAAGCTGAATATTTTTTGGGCTAGTTCCGGATAGAAAAAGAAAGCCCATTATATAAGTTTATATTAGTTTATTTATATTTTTTTTCACAAATATAATATGTGATCTATATGAAAATTGTTTAATTGTAATTGAAGTTTCTACTGATTATAATCTCATAATATATATATAATATTGATAACTCTTGATTAGTCATCAATCATCGTTAGGTTGTAAATGATTGAATGATTTAATTCTGGTCATGGGATTAATGAAAATTACATAGCATGATTTAAATGTTGGGAATGATGGAATTGGTATTAGTTAGTTTCTCAGGAAAAATATTAATCTTTTAATGGTTGATTTAATAATTGTTCAATAAAATCATTGAGCCAAAAATAAAAACGTTGCCATTAATTGTAATGATTCCAGAGTTCTTTAGTTTCTTATTGCAAATAATCACAACCTCAATACAATGAATTAAAAAAGAATGATTCTTTTTCTTTGTTGTTAATGAAGCAAAGCAATCCCAAGTAAGAAAGAGCAAAAACAAAATTCACAGTTATAATATTTGATTTTTATTACAAGCCCTATTAGAATTAATATTAACATTAGTATAGGAAGTAAAAAACAGGGTGCTTACAGGAAATAATCATGCATAGAAACTTGAATAGAAAGAATAACTCTCTTAGTGGCCTTCATATGAGGGGTGGTACGTATATTCAGCCTGCGTGCTGGGATGAATTGCTTCTGAGACCAGACTAGCAATATGGAATTTGGCAATGAAAGCAGAAGCTTTCGTATCAATACTAGGGTCAGCAACCACCCCATCTGTGTTATCGTCTTCACTTGCATACACCTTTTTTGGAGTATAATGATCCTGATCTCTACGAGTACCACCCTTCTTACCTTTGAAGAGACTGAAGCAAGAGAAGGATTTCTTCTGCTTGTTCCCACCCATAGCCATGTATCTTGTTTTTCTGCTCACTCGGATACACTTACTAGAGGTTAGGATGCACTCTGCACTTGGCACTGCACTGTCTGATTTTCATGCGGACATGGGAACCCCTGCTTATAGTGGCTACCAGCAGTATTACAAAGGATTCAAGGAAGATGGAAGAGGGGTACGATGAAGACAAGTGTATGGCTTGGATGGAAATGGGTTCTGGGCTTAAGACTTTGACTAAATTTGGTCCTTTGCTTGAATGAACACCGCGTTGAGCACCAAAAAGCATTGGTTGGGAGTGGTGCCACCCCAGTTCCTGGGTCTTTGCCTACATTGTTCCCTCTTCAGTAAACCCCCACTATGAACTTCCTGTTAAATTTCCATCCAACCCCGTCCCCTTTTGTTTTTGTTCTTTTCACATTAATTTTTCAAGTTGGCCCTTTCTTCAACACGACGTGATTACGACTGGTTATCGTTGGCTAATCACCCTTTACCCATCGGGTTTTAATTAAAAATTTAATCAACTTGATCAATTTGATTGTGATGAAATTCATTCACTTTTACCATCATTTATGCATGTCCAATATACATGCATTAGCTAAATTCGCAATTAAAAAATTAGCATACATCTTAAAATCTAAATACCATTTTTTATTTCAAAGTCAAAAACTCCTATGACATGATTCGTATATTAATTCAATATAAAGCGTTGTTAAAATACAATACAATTAATTAATTAATTATACATTCAACATGCAATGTGCTTTTAATTCGTTCCTATATCGCAAAACTAATAATAATAATAATGAAATGCCCTATATTATAATGAAATGCCTTGTTGTTTTAAAATGAAAAAAAAAAAGTCTTTTTCCATCATATTAGTATAAGCCATATACATAATACATACTATGAATAATATATTCTGTGTTTTTCTAGCTGTATCACATTATGTAATTATGAAGTATAAGTTTTCATTTGTTAAAGGATAATTCACTTAATAAATTACTCATTACTCCAAGATTTCAATCCAAGTTTATAAGCTTTCATTTGTTTAAGAATAATAAGATTTCAATCCCATAGGATTAGAATTATCAATTTGGTATAGCACAGAATAAAAATGTATATAATACCTAACACAGTTAGGTTGGATACGGAAAAAGACATTAAGGGTTTTAGACTTGGATGACTATTGATGGACATTTGTTTATATTCAACTATTGTGGCCAATTTTCCTTTTTTTTTATTAGAATAGTTTGTATTAACCTATTCCAAACTTATCTTGTATTCAACAAATTATATTTAATTATAATTTTGGGTTTTAATCACAAATTCATACAATGCAATCAAATTTATAAAAATATCATAAAAAGTATATAAAGGTGTTAGTGAAAATATTTTTAAGTATACAAATGTATATTTTTAAGTCAAATTTATTATGGTGATTAGATTTCAACATCATCCAATAAAAATGCATTTACTTCAAAAATTAAAAAAAAAAAGTAAAAAAATGTGCTAATCTTTTAAATATGCATGTGAAAAAGGTAAATATTTACTATAGTATTAGTAATCAGTAATAACATATTTTTGACCAAAATGGTGAGCTAATAATAAAGAGCATATTCATATATTTTTTGAATAGAAATTCCTTGCCCCTTTATGTGCCCTTTCTATTATATTGCCAAGTTCACCATTATTCTACAATTTGGTGAACAACTTTGTTACTTATTGATGGAATTGGTATCAATTGGTTTCTTATGAATAACAATAATTTCTCTTATTCATTATCAATTTTTCATTTCTATCCTATAATTTTTTTTTTGATAAATCCATAATTGCTAAAGAAAAATATCAAACTAATTAGAATATTATAAATCTAACAATTCAGAATATGGTACTGATACTATATACTATAAGATCAATAACCAATCCCTCCCATTTAATACAAATAAACTATATTTGCCTTGAACTAAAAATAATGTGTGGCAAACACAATATATGACAGAATTATTGACTATTAACAAGTTTGTCTCATTACTTATGAAATTGGATTCTAACCAATAAGACCTAGAATAAAGAGATGTCAAATGTTAGAAACCACTCAGTATCACGAATGAAATTTTTACTCTAAAATTCACTACACTGTTGGGATCAGTATGGAAGTAGTAGTGGCCAATTGAGTATTGTTTTGCTAATTCCTTCAACTAAAATCATCATATTTTATTTGTCAAAATATATATATATATTTTCTCTACATACACCTTTTTTCACAAGAATAGTATATGAAAATTAAGTATTGCTAATAATGCTCTCCAAAGCTGTCCCAATTGTGTTGAAATCGTCATTGCCATCCAAATCAACCGTCACATTAGTATAAAAAGAATGAATAACTAATGTAATGATGGTGAAAAGAAGCAAATAGAAAATTAAAAAAAAAATTGCCTTGTGCTTGATTCGAGGTTATCGACCACAAGAAATTATGAGATAATTGAGAATTTTGTTTGTGTAGGTTTCAAAATTAGGATAAAAGGAGTTGTTACTATGCATTACAATTCATGTGCTTATGGTATCTATTCTCATTTTGGTAATTTGATAAATAGGAACAAAAGTATGAGATAGAAAACTAGTTTTTTAAAAATTGTCAAGTTGATTTGATAAGTAGTTATTTTATTTTGATCAAATATGGAACTGAGTATGATATGATATAATATATTTTTTTAAGTTTTATCCTACTCAATTACTAAAAGCACATTAGCAACTTGATTTGAGTTCTTATTTGTTGGCTTCTTGATGCACAGAGCAACTTGATTTGGGTTCCTATTTGTTGGCTTCTTGATGCACAGAATTGAAGAAATATAATGAGCTTATACGAAAAAGGGCTTATTGTTAGCAAAGAATTGAAGAAGAATTTTAGTTATGATGTTTTGAAAATGTGTGGATTGGTTGGCGAGGTTAGCAAGGTGACCGCAATTAAGCTAAAGCAGCTGAGTTATTATGTTGAGAAATATTAGAGGCTATATATAGGGAGGAGAAAGGCAAATCATTGTTGAATGCTTAGCAAAGCTGGATCACAATAAATTATCTGTAGAGTGTAAGTTTGGGTAAATTCTTGCACAGGCTTCTTTTTGCCTTCGGTTTCTCATGACATTTTAAAGAAAGAAGGCATGTGATATTCAAGCTGTAATTAGATCGGTATTCCACAAGTCATCGTATATTAGTCAGTAAATCCCACCAAAGGGGATACTGATCCCATATGAATCCATAGAAATAACAAATCAAGAAAAGGACTAAAGAGCATTAACTCAGAAACAATAATCCAATATCAAAAGCAAGGTTCTAAGTTTCTAATTTGCTATAGATGGTGTGAACTTCCATTGCAAAACAGGTGATTCATTTAAGTGACACGGTTCTCATGCCGTTTTAAGCCCATAAGTTTTTGTATACGGGCTTTTATTTTTCTGTTGAAGGTGCTGCCACTGGTATTCTGAGAAGCCTTGTCTTCCTTGTAATAAATGTACAGGACAATGTCTCTCAAAGCTAGGTTTATTATGTCAATAAGAGTCTTCTACCATCATGGTTCAAGACTTTTTATGGCATACTAGCGTTTTGATTGAATAAATAATATCAATCACTTTTTAATATATATATATATATATATATATTTGTAGCGTGGATGTAGTTGGATGGGTATTGATGGATGCAAATGTAATGACATGGGTTAAGTTTACCTGGGCGCTATCTGGTGCTTATAAGGGTCGGGTGCTATATTCATGTTAGATGATTAGCCCTGTATGTTTGGAGTTTTGTAAAATAGGCTGATGATTGCTCTGTTTCCTCTAACTCCATCAAAATTGTATACTTTTGAAGCATTAGTAAAGTATTGATTTAATCAAAAACAAAAAAAACAAAAGGAGAGAATAAGAATTGGAAAAGAAAAAGCAAAAAAACCCTTTAATTCTATCCGAATATTCTTTTGTGATTATATCTATCAGAGAAGAAGAATGAAAAACATGTTCCCATTCCCACAGGAAGATAATAGAAAAGTATCTTGGTCGCCTTCCAGGACTAACTTTTAGCCCTTACTTCGATACCTTCAACTATCAGCAGTCCTTTAAGCTGGTGACCCCTAATTAACTACCATCGAACTCATCTTCACCTCTTCATCACCTTCACCATTGAAGAATTCTCCGACCTCAATCTCCCTCCAGGCTCCAGCCATCTTCTCTTTGCTAAAGACCCGTTCTCTCCTTTAATCACCCTTGATTTCTCAGCATTTGTTTCCGGTTTACATAAAACAAATTCTCCATTTTCTGTTTGTTGCTGTCTTGGCTACGCAGGTAAGCTGTGTTGGTGAGTTTGTTCCATTGCCAACTTCTGCTGATATGTCTGATGGTAGTAAATCAAGCCCAAATGCACGGGTCAGTGATTTTCAGAAAAAGGTAAGCTCCATATCTTGAGTTTGGAGACAGTGTTTTAGTTCTGATCTTGCCATGGATTTCCAACCAGCTCACAGTTTCGAGTTCAGCTACCTCTGGGATTCCGGAAATAGAAGAAATTTTTTGGTATTAGAAGCTGCCTGCTGAATTTGCTGTTAACGATATCAACAAGATATTCAGCCCCCTGCCTTTGTTGAGTACAAGCTAAGCTTGGAATATGTTTCTTTTTTTTTTAAAGCAAAGCACATTGAATTAACACGAGAGGAGTACAAAATGCTATGAAAATTCTCCACTAAAGAAGGGTGGAGATAATCAGTAGCAAATACAACCTCCATAAACACAAAAAGACCAGGGTCTAGTCAAAACACAAGAACCCACCCTAGACAGGATCTGAACGAAAAACAAACCAAGATCACCAAGACACGTGAAATCAACATCTCATAAAATCAATATCAAATTTTATAAACAAATTTCATAAACTTTGGCTAAAAAAAATTTATTGAAAACCAACCATTAAAATTGGAGCTTGTGTCTACATTGAGAATTGTTCTGGCCTAAGCTCAATCCCCTCAAAAACGAGTCCTGCTTTCAGGTGCGTTCCTGCCACCTCTTTTAGACACATCTTTACTTCTGCAATACCTGATCCATGGTTATAAAACTTTCCCAATTCAATCTCAATCCACCCATCTTCACGCTTGCAAGGAACCCTTTCTTCTGTTCCTCTAAAAACTATTGATCTCGAAGCTTCAATCTGATTTGAAAACCAGGTAGTCTTCAGACATTGTTTCTTAGTTTCATGTTGGCGTAAACAAACTGTCCCTTCTGATTTTACATCTCCAACTTCAACCGAACCTTGGATGGTAAAATGTCTAGTCCATATGCATGATCAACAAACTTCACAATCAGATGAGCCTCGTAGACAATGTCCGGAGACAGCATCCGATTTTGGATTCTGCCTTGGATTTCCAACCACGAGATGGTTCGAAGTTCAGCAACTTCAAAAAATCTGAGAATAAGAAAACGAAAAAACAACTTAGATTCTCTGTGCTATGTAATGGAACTTTGATTTCTAGAGAACCAAGATGGGAAAATGTGAGTGAGACCTTGATGCTGGGAAAGATTTCCAGGTCCAGAAGAGAGGATTCTCTGCCCATGTAATTTTCAACTCCTTTGCACTCAGCACATAACATTTTTTACCTGATGATTTCTCTAATGAAAAAGTTTGTTAATGGGAAACTGATAAGATTAGCACCATGATCATTGATTTCAACTCTTATGTAGTTGACAAGAATGGAATAAAAAATAAAATAAAATAAAAAACAAAGGAAGGAAGCACTTCGATAGAGAATATTGCCTGCAACAAAGTCACATTAAGCCCCATGCCTTTGTTGAGTACAGGAGATCACCTTGGAATATGTTGATCTAAACAATCATAAATGGAGAAAAAAAGAAGGAAAATTGTCCACAATAATTGACTATAAACAAATTTCATCAACTGCCATCCAAGTCTTGAAACCATGACATTCAGTGTCATATCTCCTTTGACTTGATGTATTGGCATGGAGCAGTTTTCCAGGGCCATCCTGTGCATCCACAAGGAGTGGAACAAATATGAATTTTCATACGAAGGAATTCATATTTGATCCACCTCCTGTGCACCCAAAAATAGCCCCACGAAATTGTTTTTGAATTAAATTTATTTTATTAAATATTAATTTATGAGATGAGAAAGGTTACTATTTGCATACGCCCTTTTTTCAGATCAAAGTTTTAGCTCTAGGAGCAATTGATCCATTAACGGTATGAATACACATAGTCACCCTTCTGAAATCCTGTCTTAGACTTTTTTTTTTCCCAATTGTGTATGTAACTTTTCTTAGTAAATGATGCTATTATATACCATCTAATGCAAATTAGATGATTTTTATTATTTATTTGCAATTTTTTCTCTAACAAATATATATATATATATAAAATAGAGTCTTAATAAAGAGATTTTTATATTAATTAATAGCAATAAATTCACAAAATACCTTATTCTATAATATTGTTTGCTACTTTCGATTAACTAGGATTACATATGTCACGTAAATTTTATTTATGAAAATATCCTACATTATTAAAATTCTTAATTAACATCAGTATAGCAAGAACGGGGATGACAATGAATATCTAATTATCGAATATATGAAATTATCCAACTTGATTATGCAATAATTTCAAAATTCACGAACCTCAACTTATTGAAAATTTGCTTACTTTATGGCCTCCATCAATTAGATGTGGGTTACATAACCTGAGGAATAACTCCTTGGATGAGTAAACCAGTGGATTCAGTAATCTGGAGAGGACGTCCTGATAATCTGATGACAGAAATTTCTCCCATACATTGTCCGAATCAGCTGCAACCCGAATTGTGGAAGAGAGTACTGAGATTCGACATGCATCAATGGGAGATGTGAGTGATAGAATTCGTGCAAAACAATCTTGAGGCAATCGATCCAAGCTCATTTTTCCCTTCCCTACAGCTTATAGTTCACACCAATGAAAAACTGAGAGGGAAAAAGGAAAGAAAAGAGAAGAAAATGGATGACATTGAATGAATATTGCTTAGTATTTAATGCCTCATGCAGCCATGCCTTGATTGAACCAGGAAGTATATAGTAAACATTGCGTGGTCAATGTAGCGTTAACATGACAACATATTCTTGATTGGGTCTGGTTTCCATGACGACATGGAGACAACATATGAGCACATCATGTAACATAAAGATTGTATTTGTAAAATTGATACGATAGATCCCCTTTGACTACGATAAGAACAATCTTGACCATCCATGTGGCAACGCTATTTTTTTTAATTAAATTTATTTTGACATAGGCAACAATTTGTTTATTTAATATTCTCTTTTTTTTATTTTCATTGAAATTAATTTTTTTTTATAATATTTAAAGATGCTCAATAATTTTCAATATAAAAAAGTAAAATCATAAAAAATAAATTTATAATATCAAAAAATGATTTCATTTTGTGACATATCATAAAAAAAATAAAAAAGGATGAAAAGAGTATATTATATAACGCATATATACGTACAAGTTCAATTCTAAACCATCTAACATGTAATTTTTTGGAAAGACCACATACCTTATTTTTATAATATTCTAAAGGTTCTTAGGCTCGAATTTCAACTTTCCATAAATAAAACTTAAAATTCCCTTCATTTGGTGGCATTGGTCGACATGGTTATGCCATCAAAGTTGGAAAAATCGTGCTACATGAACAAATGAGAACAATTTTCTTGAGAAATGAAATTGAAAAATCAGAGAAATATATGAAAATTGTCTTCTTCGTTAGCTGTATGCTCATGCATTTGTTCTTCAATCCAACTATCTTTGTCATTGGCATATACAAAAAGAGAGAAAAAGAATTGGAAAATAAAAGCAAAAAAAAAAAAAAAACCCTTTGAATTCCCATTCCTACAAGAACCTAAATAGAAAAATATCTTTGTCGCTTTCCAGGATTAACTTTTGGGTCTTAGCTCGATACCTTCAACTATCAGCCCTCCTTTAAGCTGGTGACCCTTAAATTCCATCAAGCTCATCTTCACCTCTTTATCACTTTCACCATTGAAGAATTCTCCGAGCTCAATCTCCATCCAACCATCTTCTCTTTTGCTCAGGACACGGTCGTCTCCTTCGATCACCCTTGATTTCAGCATTTGTTTCCTGTTGCCATAAAACAGGTTCTCCATTCTCTGTTTCTTGCTGTCTTGGCTACGCAGGTAAGCTGTGTTGGTGAATTTTGCTCCGTTACCAACTTCTAGTGACATTTCTGATGGTATTAAATCAAGCCCAAATGCACGATCAGTGATTTTGAGCAAAAGATAAGCTCCATATCTTGTGTTTGGAGAAAGTGTTTTAGATCTGATCTTGCCATGGATTTCCAACCAGCTGACAGTTTTCAGTTCAGCTACTTCTGGGAATCTGGAAAGAGAAGAAACTTCTTGGTATTAGAACCTGCCTGCTGAATTTGCTATTAAGAATATTAACAACAAGGCAAGTACTGACCTTGATTCAGGGATGGATTTCCAAACCCAATACATTGGATCATTGCTCCAGGTTATGGAAAGCTCCCTTGCAGATAAAATATAGGATATTTTTCCAGTTGATCTCTCTAATTTGAAGCTCTGAAGAAGAGGGAATTAAAAATGAGAACAGTTCTAGTTTTCCAAATGTTTAGCAGGGGTCATTGGTAACTAACCATTTTGCCATCAGCTACAAGGATAGGATTGCAGAGGAGGAGATAAAGCTCTTTCTTTGACGAAAATTCAAGGGTGTGACTAGCCTTGGAGACAATTTCCCCACAATCAGATGGCAAGAACCTCTCCCAAACCGAATCAGATTCAGACGCTGATTGAAAAGTGGATGACACCAACGAAGATTTGCAAGCATCTGCGGGAGATGTGAGGGACAGAATCACAGCAACACAGCTCTCTGGCAACACGTTCATGTCTAAACATTCCATTTTCTTCTTCTTCTTCTTCTTCTTTTTTTGTTTTTCTGTAGTAAACCAATGAGAGAATCAAAACCAAAAGCAAAGCTATTGGATTGTTAAACTTGTCCAATGGGTGTTTGCTGGTTATATCTAAATTTCCAGCTAAACGTGTAAAATGATGGCTCACAGAAAACAAAAGCCAGGGCCTATAAAATTGCAGATAACCTTTGCCAATCCTGTGCGTTTCACGACTAACAACAAGTCCATATGGAAAAGCAACAGTTGTGGGAATTAATATAATAATTGTTTAAAGACAAACTTGCAGAAATTGGTATTAGATAAATATATATATACAGTTAATATTGATAATCACATCACGTGCAAGCTTAGCCAGAGACGAAATGGAAAGTGGAATGAAAATGAGCGTGAAAAGTGTGAATCGAAAACTCTTCGACATTTTTTTTAATCATAATTTTTTTAATATCAGAATACCGATATAATCAAGTATATAATAATTTAGACCAAGTACAGATGGACCAATTCCTTCGGCTGCTTTCTTAATAATTCTTTTTTGACCATCAATTAATTTTATATTAGCTGTTCGCAATTCCAATATATTTGGGATTGAAAGTCCGAATTGAATATAGATAAAACTAATGTAAAAAAAAAAAAGAAAGAAAAGAAGAGAAGAGAATTCCATGATTTCTTGTTGCCTTAATTTCAAAAAATGACTGAGGGAGAATATTAGAAAATCATAAGATTATTCATTTAATTATTCAACATCACTGGGCTTTTGATGGCTTGATCGTAAACATTATGTCTTGACTCAGAAAAATAGACTTGGCCTAATCTGGTGTTCTTAATGAACGAATATCAAATAATATAAATTTGACCAAGGCCTGTTTTCAACAATTCTTGTCTCTTCCGTTCCTTTTCTTTGGAGAAAACGCATGCATGATGAGAAGCCTGCAACCATCTTTTTCAGTTCACGGCTCAATCAATTGGGTTGTAATTAGAAGGCTTTTGGGGGATTCGACTCCCAGGCACAGACGCAATCTTCCGAAAATATCCAACAAAATATCTGAAAAAGGAAATCGTTCTGCTTAATTAAAATTACTTTAATCACTTAAAGAAAAGTTTCTACGTTTATGAAGATTAAAGTAAACTAAAACAAACGCCCAATGTCAAAATGAAAGGCTAGTCTGTAACAGAAGAAAGGCTAACCTTTACTTTTAGTGGGGAGAGGCTAGGGGGGTTAAGTTGACAGTTGAGACAAATGGAGACAATATTTTAGAATTAAACTTATATCAGATCCTAGATTTTAACGAGATTATTTAGTATTTTGAGTCGAGAGAGGCAGTTATATAAATATAAATATATATATGTACTTAGCTAAGTAAATTTATGATTTAACAAATGGATACAAAGTCAAAGTTAACTTTCATCACTTTCATTTATGTAGTCGATCAAGTTAATCCTCCTCCTCCCCTAGTGATACAT